TCGTGTGCAGGCTGCAAGCAAAGGCTAGAGCCTGCAGAGCCCCGTGTGTCTGCTATGGGGAAAAAGGTGGTACGTGGCAAGGAAAGGCGCTCCGTGTGTGTGGGACGGCTTTCGACTCGCTCGCCGTGCGTGGCTGCTACGCCTGAAGTCGGCTGAGGCGGCAACGCGTGCCAATTTTTCAGCAACCCCAGGTGGGGACAGGTGACCGTGTTGAGGGTGGAGAGGCGGCGAGTGCGGGATGTAGGGCATGTGAGACTCATTGGGTGTGTGATGGTGGGTGTGGTGGGTGTGGTGGGTGTGTGGGTGTGCGGGTGTGTGGTGGGCGTGGGGATGGCGGGAGAGGACGACAGGCACAAGGAGCACTTTGTGTGCGTGGTCTGCGGCTCGTCGCTGTTGGGCACGCAGTACCATGAGCACGAGGGCTCGCCGTACTGCCACGCCGATTTCATGGGCACGTTTGCGCATCGGTGTGCGGGATGCAAAGAGTCTGTGTTTGGGGCGCATCTGACGGCGCTCGACCAGCACTGGCACACAGACTGTTTTGTGTGCACCACGTGCAGGCAGCCGTTTGCGTCGGGCCGGTACTTTACAGTCGACAACATGCCGTACTGCAGCGAGCACTACCACTCCAAGGTTGGCAGCGGTGCACAGCATGCTCGCAGGTCATCACGGACAACCATGTGTCGGCGCTCGGCGCCTCGTGGCATGCGCAGTGCTTCAACTGCTCGTCGTGCGGGTCAAATCTGACCGGCACGCTGTTTGCCTCGCGCAAGGGCAAGGCCGTGTGTAAGACGTGTGCCAACGCCGTGTCGCGCAAGCGCTCGCAGCGCATCATTGAGACGCTCAATGACATCCGGGCGTCTTCGCCGGCTCGGCCGGCCCCGGCGGCTAGGCTGCCGGACGAGGTTGTTGCCAAGCTCCGCGACCTGGGCAAGGCCTACGCGCGGACGGTGCGGACGGTGCTGACGGCGGTGACGGCCGAGGACGTCGGCACCATCAAGTCGAACATAGCAGCTGCCGTCAAGCCGGTCAAGGATCTCATCGGGACACTCCGCCAGGATGCGGCTACCGCCGCCAATGCCGAGATGCACGCGTCAACGCTGCAGACTGACGCTACTGCGCTGCTGACCCACGTCAAAGCCGTTTTTTCTGCCAAGGGCGAGGCTCTTGTTCCTGCGCTAGCGCTGCTCAAGAAGCTCCTTGTCAAGTTGACCGGGGACGTCAACGCGGTGGTCTCGTCGATGGCCGCGACCAACGCGCCTGGTGCGAGTGCAGCCGAGGAGAGAGAGAGCGAGAGTGAGAGCGCGGCTCGAGGACAAGCCGTGAGTTCCGAGCCGCCAAAGCGGGCGTCGGCAGTGCTCGATGAGGCACCAAGCGTCAAGTCTATGCTTGACCAGCAGTTGAGGTCGTTCCTTGTGGAGAACGCGGAGCTCTGCATCTACTTGACGCAGGCCGGCGCCGACGTCGACGACGTGGTGCCGGACGACGAGGCGGACGGTGGCGACGTAGACCCCAAGGCCATTTTGTTGGTGCGGCGGATGCTGAGATCGATGACAGCGATTGCAGCGACAACCGAAGTGCTTGACGAGCTGGACTGGACCGGCCCGCAGTCGCTGGCGGCCAAACTTGTGGAGGCGGCCAAGGCTGGGCGGGTGGCAGTGCGGGCCGAGGCGGAGCGGGCAGTGGCGGTTCAGCGATGCGCCAACGAGCTGCGCGAGCTGATTGCCTCGATTGTCGGCCCGTACCTCGACCCAGCAGACGAGCACGACGACTCCAAGCTCGAAGTCAAGGGCCCGATGGGCCTCAACCACCGGCTTGAGTCGTTTGGCGTCGGAACGGCCTCTCACGGCGCACACTCGCGATTCATCACCGACTGGCAAGACGCGTCCAAGTTTGAACCAAAGGCTGCGGTGAAGCACAACTCACGGCGTGCGGCGACGGTCAACCTCTCGTCGCTCGATGTCGACTTTGACTCGCCTGAGGGTCAGGCAGCGGTGGGCGCCATGACGGCGGCCAGCGCTGCCAACGGCGGGAGCAGCAAAGCGAGCGGGCGGAGTGGGCGCAAGGTTCCGGTCCGCAAGGGCCGCGACCGGCCGCTTCCGAGCGCCAAAGCCGACTTGCCTGGCTCGTCGAAGCGGAACAAGCAGCACCGGCGGCGCGCTGTGTCGATGTCGTTGTCGCTGCTGACGACGGCACGGCTTTCGGCGTCGATCGGATCGGTCCAGGAGAGCATCCAGCCGTTTGAGCTCGAGCTTCCAACAGCAGCGGCGACAACAGTGGAGACGCAGGAGCGGTCGCGGGTGCTGGACATCCAGAAGCTGATGGGCGACCTCGGAGACATTCTCGAGTCGGAGGATCTCTCGGCGGTGGCGTACACGGCCGAGTCGCTCGACGAGGTCTCGTCCGAGTCGGGCGAGACCGGGGTGGCGGTGGCTACGCCGGTGTCGGCCGCAGCGGCGACGGCAGTCACCGTCTCGCCGACTAAGGCTGGCCCGTCTTCGCCGGCGTCGGCGTCGGATGCCATCACTGCACGTGAGGTTGTGCTCCTCCCGCGGTCAAAGCGCGAGAACGTGGAAGAGCGGCTGGTCGACGAAGACACGGCGGCGTCGGGCGCGGCGTACCTGCCAGAGACGGTGCCGGCGGTGCGGACTGCACGCTCGCCGTCGATCTCGGCCAACGGAAAGCTCGAGCTCCACCCGCCGACCTCGGGCAAGCTGGTGCTCAAACGGGGCATGTTCAACAAGTGGAAGCGGCGGCACTTTCTACTCGAAAACGCCGTGCTCTACTTTATGAAGCTCAACGGGCGGACGGTCATCGACCGGCTGCCGGTGCCCGGGTGTGCGATCTCGCGATCGCCCGAGACCTCGCACTCACACGCGTTTTCGCTGACGACGCCCGAGGCGATGGGCGGCGACGTGGTGGTCTTCCGGGCTGAGGACGCGGCCGACAAGTCACGGTGGGTCAACGCGCTCGAGTCTGTGGCGGCCATGCCGACCTCGTGCATCAATGAGGCGCTGATGCGGCCGGTGACCAAGAAGCAGTCACGGATGACGCTCCGCAAGGGCAAGTCGTTCTCGCTGGCAGCCGGGCTGGCGGCAGCAGGATTGGCCAGCGCGCCGACGCTTGTCAAGCGCAAGGCCATTCTCGAGGGCGAGACTGAAGTCCTGGTTTACATCAACAACAAGGTGGAGGCCGGGACGCCCGAGAAGCTCATCTCGCTCCTGGTGTCCGAATCGGACCCGCCGCCGGGCTACGAGACGGTCTTCCTCCTATGCTTCCGGCACGCGATCAAGCCCAAGTTTGTGCTCGAGACAGTGATGGGCCGGTTCAACTGCGTGGCACCGGCCGGAGCCACCGGCCAGCAATTGGCGTACGTCTCGACGTGGCGGCCGATCATCCAGACACGGGCCATCGACTTTGTCATGCACTGGGTGGAGAACAACTGGTACGACTTTCACGACGACGAGGTCATGGTCATGGGCGTCATGAACTTTGTCTCGCTCGTCCGCGAGGTCGGTGACTCGGACGACATCCGGGCACGGGCCGAGCAGATCGATGCCCTCATCGAGGCCAAGATTACAGAGTTTGACGGGTACAAGGAGGCCAAGCTCGAGGGCCCGTCGGGCGGCATCGCCCACGAGTGGGGAAAGCTCGTCGAGTACGACGCCGTCGAACTCGCTCGCAACTACACGCTGTTTGAGATGGAGAAGTTTGTGGCCGTCCGCCCGGAAGAGTTCACCGTCCAGATGTGGGGCGACAAGTCCAAGGGCTTCCTCCGGGTGTACTCGGAGAACCTCTCTGCGTTTGTCGACTCGTTCAACCACGTCTCGTACTGGGTGGCGTCGGAGATCTGCCTCATGCCCGACCTCAAGAAGCGCGTTGCCATTCTCAAGCACATCATCACGCTCGGAAAGGAGTTCTACGACCACCGCAACTTTAACGGCCTCATGGCCGTCATCTCGGGCCTCAACCTTGCGTCAGTCCAGCGGCTCAAAAAGACCTGGGCCGGCCTCCCCTCCAAGTCGCTCGCCACGCTTCACCAGCTGGAGGCCGTCATGTCGCCCAAGTCCAACTACGCGCACTACCGCGACCTGCTCTCCGATACCTCACCAGCTGTGCCATTCTTTGGCCTGCTCCTCAAGGACCTCACCTTCCTCGATGATGGCAACCCGAAGCGGATCGACGGCACTGCGCTCGTCAACTTTGACAAGTGGCGCACGATCGCCACCGCCATCCTCTCTATCTGCAAGTTCCAGGACTCGGAGTTTGACTTTGTCGCCGACGATGACGTCACCACCTACCTCAAGTCGTGCCTCATTGTCGACGACCGCCCACTGTACTCGTACTCGCTGCTGTGCGAGCCGCGCGGCCAAGCCGAGGACTCGGCGTCGCAGCGGCTCATCGAAAAGTGGGCTGCTGCCTCGTAGTAGTCACTTCCCGGTCTAGGGATATCATTCTTGCGTGTGCATCACCCATCCTGTAGCGTCGTTGCAAACAAAGTCGAGCGTGGTTGCTCAAGTGCTCGTGTCCACTCGCCATAGTGTGTTGAACACCACATCGCGAGACATTATTTTGCACCAATACGGGATTTACTCTTCGTCGTGCTTGGCCTTCCATGCCTCGACAAAGGCCTGCGCCTTCTCGCGGACGCCGGCCTGCTTGCGCTCGTCGCCGTGCTCGGCCTCAAAGGCGAGGTAGCGGGCAAAGACCTTGCGCATCTTGGCAAGCGGGAGCGGGAGCAGGATCATGCGGTCGAAGATCTTGCGGATGCGCTTCTTCGAGCCGTGCTTGGTCTCCATGTCGACGTACACGTTCCACACGTCGAGCCGCTTCGGCTTGGACGCCAGTACGTCCTCGAGCAGCGTGCGTCCGCGCTCTGGTGAGCCAAACTTGAACTCGAGCGTCGCGCACTTGGTCACCAGGTTGGTGTGCTTGGTCTTGGGCACCGACTGCATCGCGCGCTGCAAGACAGAGCGCGCCTCGTCGGCGCTGGCGTGCCGGAGCTTGAACATGAAGAACCCGGTCCACGCCCGCGAGTAGGCCTTGCCAAACTGGCGGACGGTGATGTCCCACAGCGCGTCGGCCTCCTCCCACTTGGACGACGCCTCGTACACCTCCAGCAGCTTCTCGTGGATGGTGAACGCGTCGTTGTATTTGACTGCGCGCTTGAAGACCTTGTTGAGCGAGCCCTGCGTGCCGTGCATGTTCTCGAGGTTGAGGTACGCCACCCACACGTTGAGCTTATCGGTCTCCTCCTTGAACGAGATCGTCTTGAGTGCCTTCTCAGCAACCTCGCGCGCCTCGGCAATCTGCGTCTGCGAGAGATGGAACGCCATCAGCTGGATCCACAGCATCGACGAGTTGGGCGATGCCAACAGCAGCCGCTCAAACTCGTCCACAGACTCGGGCGCCTTGGACGCATCCACAAGCGCAGCCTCGAGCGCCCGCGTCTGTGCCTCCTCGGCACGCTGCTTCTTCTTGGCCGCCGCACGCTTCTCGCGCCGCGTCGCGTTCCGTCCACCAGCAACGTCCATCTCGCCCTCCATCACCACCGACGATGACGACGACGACGAGGACGAGGAGGAGGAGGAGGAGGAGGAGGAGGAGGAGGAGGAGGCCGAGCCAGACGAGGAGGAGGCCGAGCCTGAGCTTGACGAACCACGCTTCGACTTCTTCGTCTTGGCCTTGGCCTTAGCCTTGGCCTTGGCCTTAGCCTTGGCCTTAGCCTTGGCCTTAGCCTTGGCCTTGGCCTTAGCCTTGGCCTTCGACTTGACCGCCGCCTTTGTGCCCATACCAGCCAGGAGGCGGGTGAGCAGGTTAGGGTCTGAGGCCGGGTCGAGATCAGCGTCAGCAAACAGATCCGAGCCGTCGGCGCCGATGAACGAGGCCGAGTCGGACGAGTGCGAGTCTGAAGCCGCCGAGCCGGACGAAGCGTCGTCGGACGAGGCCGAGGCCGAGCCGGACTCGTCCATGTCGGCAAGGCCCGAGCGGAGGGCGGCCATGTCGTCGGACGACGAGTCAGCGTCGGCGTCGAGGAGCTTGACAGCGCCCTGGACCTCCATGTCGGCGACGTCCGAGTCCGAGCCGGAGCCGTCCGAGCCCGAGCCGTCCGAGTCGGAGCCGTCCATGTCGATCACCTCCGAGGCCGAGCCGGAACCCGAGTCCGAGTCCGAGTCCGACTCGTCGTCGTTGACAAAGTACTGCGGCTTGAGGCCAAGCGAGACGCGGTTGCGCTCGCGGTCGACCTTCAGCACCAGCGCCCGCACGTGGTCGCCCGGCGAGTACAGCGCCGAAATGTCGGTGACCCGAGTGTTGGAGAGCTCCGAAATGTGGGCCATGCCCGAGACCGACGAGTTGTTGATGCGAATAAAGACACCGTAGGTCGCAACCTGCGAGACAACGCCCGAGACCCGCTTGCCGGCCTTGAGGGTATGGATAGTAATCTCACGCTCGTTGCCGGTCGCGCCGACTGCGGACGTCTTGAGCGTGACGTTGACAAAGCCCGCTACAGGATCGATCGACAACACACGCCCAATGACATGCATGCCTCTGGGAAAGGCCGACTTGAGGTCCTTGATGTAGGCGTCGGTCATGTCACGGAGGAGGACCCGCCCGTTGAGGCGGTCGCCGAGCGTAATGAACGCACCCTTGTTGGTCACATCCTCAATGTACGCATGGACGAGCTGGCCCTTGACAAGCTGGTTGACCGAGGTGTACTCGGGCATGGGCGTGGTAAGCACCTCCTTGGCGGTGAGCTCCGCAAGCTTGGCCGACCGCGCCTGCGTCGGCACGAGGCCCTCGAGCGGGTTCTCCAGCCGCGAGGGGCGAAGCGAGACGCGAGCCACAAACGACGACGTCTCCATGTTCTCGGGTGGGCCGACGCGGACAATAGCCACGATCCGGACCTCGCCGGTGGTAAACGACTTGATGACCTCGCCGCCCCACACGTCAGAGAGCTGCGAAAGCGGAGCAACAACGACCTCACCCGAGCCGATGACGAGCGAGACAAAGACGGAGGTGACCGCCATGACCCGTGCCGGCACCAGCATGCCCTCGCGCAGCTCGGCATCGGCTGGCGAGAGGAGCGAGAGGCTCACACCAACCTTGTCCGTCACGTCGGTGACGTAGACGTCGACGGCCGAACCCGGCGCGTACTTGCGAGCAAACGACGAGTCGGCAACGTCCTCGGCGGGCATCTGCAGGATGTCCACCCGGCCGCGCGACATGCAGTCGAGAGCAACCCACATGCACGCCTCGTCGCAGCCCTGCACAAAGCCGGTCAGCTTGTCGCCACGCTTCAGTTTGTGAACCTTGACCAGGTGCTTGGTCGAGATCTTGCCGTCAGGCTTGGCCAGCACCGCCGGCCGCATAGTGAGCTCGATGGCCTGGCGCTTCTTGGTCCTGCTGCGGCCAGTCACGGCGAGGCCGCCCGAGCCCATGCGCTCGTTGAAGGCGAGGACCTTGGCCTCGACCAGCGAGCCAAGCTCAATGTCGGCAAACGGGAACGACGGCGCCAGCGTCGTCGCCTTGTCTGGCAGCTCGTCAAAGACCTCGGTCGAGTGGACACGAGCCTTGACCTTGCGCCCGAGCCGGACCTCGATCTGGTTGGCAAACTTCTTGAGAACCCGCCCGACAACACGGTCGCCGATGGTAAGGTCGGCTGCGGTCACCACGTCGGTCGGCGAGGCAACGGCACCGGTCGAGAGCGTCAGCGTCTTGTTCCCGGCATCACCGAACGAGCCGCTGGACTTGCGCGCCGAAGACACGCGCGTGACGTCGATCTCGGGCGCGGCAAAGACAATGGCGCTGTTCCCGACGCCAGCCTGGAGTGTGACTGTGCCGGAAGCACCGGCGACCGGGAGAGCCTCCAGTCGCTGCGTGCGCAGGCGACCGAGATGGGTCACAGCCGGGGTCTTGCCGGACGCCTCGTCGCCGTCGTCGTCATCGTTGTCGTCCGAACCCGAGTCGAGAGAGCCGGCAGCCTTGCTGACCAGAACCGCATCGTTGTAGCCGACAAGCGGAACGTAGCCGATGGCGTCAGAGGTGGTGACCACGGCATAGCACGGCTTGATGAGCTGGACAGTGGCCTTCACGCTTCCGCCCTCGACGGAAGCAGCAGCCTTGTCCTTGCCCTTGCCCTTGCCCTTGCCCTTCTTCGACTTGCGTGAGGTCGAGGTGCGGGCGGCAGCAAGGCTGGCGTAGTCGGCAACAAACTCGGCGCCCTCAAGCGAGTCGGCAAGCGAAAGGTCGGCGATGGCCGACGTAGGGTCAAAGTCGAGGACGAGACCCTCGACAACAGAGCCAGGGACCACCGCCGACGACCCGGTCTGAGAGGTACTGGTAAATCCGGAAATAGTGGTTGTGGACGTCGGGTCGGATGCGTGGGCCTCGTCGAACGAGGTAATGAGGCCGGTGGGAAGGATGTGCTTGACGGTGGCGGTTCGCGGGAGGCCGGGAACCAGGTTGGGGATGTCAGAGGCGGCGGAGAGCGCAGCGCGGCGGGCGAGGAGGCCACGCATCCAGCGCGACGAGGAGGCAAGGACTGCGCCAGTGGCCATGGAACCGGTCGCGCGCTGGGTCTCGAGGTCGAGCTCGGTGAGCTCAAAGGCGACGGTGCTGTGGGTGGGGACGACCGAGTCAATGTCGTCAACATAATAGCCGCCAAACAGGATGTTCTTGATCGGAATGAGGACGTTGACGTCGTTGGCGAGCGTGACAAAGGCACCGTAGGTGGCGCAGCCAGAGACGGTTCCGGTGTAGACCTCGCCAATCTGCATGTCGGCCAGCGACGCCGGGAGCGGGCCAGCGACGTCCGACTCCTTGATCGAGAGCTGGAGCGAGTATCGCGACTGCTCGATGACGTTGCTGATGATGCGGAGGGCAGGGAAGATGTCGGCGCGCCACGGGCCGACCTGCAGCGCCGAGCGGGTAGCCTCAAACATCTCCGGGTAGTCGGTGACGCGGTACGAGGCGATCGAGGCGATGACGGGCGGGGCGCCGTCGTCGCGGGTGATCGAGACAACGACAGTCCGCGGCTTGATCTCGACAACGTCGACGGTGCAGTGGACACCCGGGGTGATGAGCTCGCCGGCGTGGAAGGTCTTGAGGGTCTTGTAGAGCTTGGCGGCAAGCGGGGCACGCGACGCGCCGCGCGCCTCGAGCTTCATCTTCTCCTGCCTCTCGGTGCGGAGGAACGAGATGGGGATGGGGACGCCAGCCGTGATGTCTTCGGGGTTAAAGGCGAGGACGCGCGCCGAGACAACCTGGCCGACGTTGAAGATGTCGGACGGGATTTCGATGTACGAAGCGGCGAGATGCGAGGGGCGGACGATGCCAAAGACGTCGCCGTAAAACGCAACATAGACGCCGGAGCGATTGTCAACCTTGGTGATGACACCCGAGACGAGCGAGTTGATGAGGGAGGCGGCCTCGTCAATCGACTTGAGCACCGGATACTGAGCCTTGAGCAGCGAGGGCTTGGCGGTGAGCGCAACGCGCGGGCCAGAGATGCGGAGGACGGCGCCGGAAAAGTGAGCCCCAACCTTGAGGCGAGCCGTGGCGTCCGAGACATAGACGTCGGCAAGGTGGGCGCGGGTGACCGACGCGACACAGAACGGCGAGAGACGAACCTGGACGTACTCGGGCTCGACGACGATGACCTCTCCCGTGACCGGGGCGCCGATCTCGAGCTCCGAGGCAAAGAGGAACGGAGCCTTGACCAGAGCCGGCGCGCAGGCAACCTTGAAGATGGCCTGGATGTGCGAGTAGGCAATGACACGGACCGAGACGGTCGATCCCGGGCCAAAGCGCTCCTGCAAGTCGGCGTAGCTGGCGATGGAGCGATCGTTGTTGATGAAGGTCGGGGGGACGAGGGCGGGCGAGACGGCGGTGGGTGTGTCGTCGGTTTCGTCGTCGTCGCTGGCGGGGCCGGCGGCAGAAGGGAGAGGAAGGGCGACGATGAGGCCAAGCGGTGAGACGCGGACGACGGTGACGTCGTCGTAGACAGCGCCGCGGGTGATGGCGTCGGGCGAGGCTGGCGGCTCAAAGTTGACGACGGCCTTGGCAATGGAGAGGCCGATGCCAGTACCGTCCTGCTTGAAGATGATGACGCGGGCATTGATGGTTTTGCCGACCGAGTAGGCGGCAGGGTCGACGAGGCCCATCTCCTCGACATGGAGGGTGGCCTTGAGGAAGCCGAGGATGGAGACGACGAGGCCATAATCGTTTGCGGCGACGATGGTGGCCTTGACGCGGGCACCGACGTTGACGGCGTCGAGGGTGAGGTCTTCGTGCGGCTCGGTGATGGTGCGGAGGGCGAGCGGGCGGAGCGGGATGACGCCCGCGGTGGAGGTCTCGTTGAGGTTGATCATGGAAAAGTATGCAGCCTGGCCCTCGACGTACTCGATGTTCTTGGCGTCGGACTTGAGGAGGAAGCCCGAGACGTGCGGGATGCCAAAGGAGATGACGTAACCGTGGTCCTCAACCGAAGTCACGGCACCCCAAACGTTCGAGTCGGGGACGATGGCGGAGGAGGTGAGGCGGGCGTTGACGAGGCGCGGCTCGAGGGTGATGGCGACACGGCGGCTGGAGGTGGTGTCGACCTCGGAAATGACACCAGCAACGTAGGTGCCGGGCGCGTAGAGGTCGGTGAGGTCGACCCAGGTCTCTGCGGCGTCATCGCCAGCCTCCTCTGCGGCGGCGATGCGCTGGAGCTTGGCAGTGAGGGCGGAAGAGACTTCGGTGATAGAGACGCGTGCGGTGATACCCGAGGGGAGCGAGACAGACATGTGCATGGGGGAGACCGAGACGACGACGCCGAGGACGGTGGTGCCGACGGCGAGACCCTCGCGGCTCCGCAGCGAGACCATGTGGACATTCTCAGTCGAGTCTGAGGCGGCCGAGGGGCGCAGGGCGGCGATGTTCTCCTCGACAGCAGCGTCAGTGTCCTCGACGTCGTGCAGGTCGTCGCGGAGGAAGCCTGGGACAAAGCCACCGGCGCCGACGGGCAGAGTGGTCTTGCCAGCGCGGAGGACGGCGGCCGGGACGGCGCCAGCGGCCTCTGCAGCAGCATCGCGGGCAGCCTGCTCGCGGATGAGGCGGCGTTCGAGCGGGGTCAGCACGGCGGTGGTGCCACGGACAAACGAGCCTGCGCCAGTGGCGGCCTTCTTCTTCTTCTTGCGCTTCCGGGGAGGGCCCTCGCCGACGGCGGATGAAACATCTGCGCCATCCTCTGCCCGGGGGAAGGCAGCGACCGACGCAGGCGCCTCCTCAACCTCACGGCGGCGCTTGCTGCCGGTCTTGGCCTTTTTCTTCTTGCCCTTGTGCTTTGAGGACGCCATGGGAGGGTGGGGGTCGAGTGTTGCACCGATTGATGGGGAGGTGGAGAGTGAGAGGGGGTGACGGGTGCTGGCTGCTGCCGCCGAGTGGGAGGGATGGGAAGATTTCGGAGATGGGCCGCGCTGGGCTGAGGTGTCCGAGTATTGGACGGAGGTGATTTGGCTTTTGGGGGATTGGGTGGGGAAGGGGGGGCTGGGGAGGGGGGGGGGATGGGCTATGATACAGCGGTGGGTGATTGGGGGGATATGGGCTGTTGGGATAGGGTGGTGGTGGTGGTGGACACAGCGGCAGTTAGTGTGGATGGTGGTGGATGGGGTGGTGGCATGGCTGTGGCTGCTGTGATTCAAACTTGTTCCAAAATGATCACAGGCAGCAGCAGCCGAAGTGGTGGACAGGTCGCACTATGGCGTAGTCACCACTCTGACACACATCTCCACAACTCAGTGACGGAGAAGCAAAGCAATGGCCAGCCGCAAGTACACGTACCCGGCGTGTCGGAGAGACGAACAGGTGGTGGAGACATTGTTCGAGACTCCGGTGGCTGACCCCTACCGCCACCTGGAGGACCCTGACGCCGAGGAGACGGCGACGTTTGTGGCGGAGCAGAACAAGGTAACGTCGGCGTATCTGGAGCAGTGCGCAGGACGCGAGCGGCTGGTGGAGAAGATGACGGCAGCGTACGACTACCCCAAGGCCGGCGTGCCCTTCCGCAAGGGCCCGGCCTACTACCGCCACCGCAACTCGGGCCTCCAGAACCAGTACGTCATGTACAAGGCCGACGCGCTCGACACGCCCGCGAACGACTGGTCCGTCTTCCTCGACGTCAACACGCTCTCCGACGATGGCACGGCCGCCCTCCGTGCATCGGCCTTCTCGCATGACGGCTCGCTCTTTGCTTACGGCATCTCGCGCGGCGGCTCCGACTGGCAGACCGTGGCCTTCAAGGACGCTGCCACCGGCGCCGAGCTCGACGACTCGCTCGAGTGGGTCAAGTTCTCCGGCTACACCTTTACCCACGACAACGCCGGCGTGTTCTACTCACGCTACGACGCGCCGGCTTCGCTGACTAGCGCCGCGGTCGCCTCTTCGGCCGACAACGCCGCCGGCACCGAGACTGACAAGCTCGAGTTCCAGAAGGTCTACTACCACGCCATGGGCACGCCGCAGGCCGATGACAAGCTCGTGTATCACGACGCCACCGTCGCCGACCAGTTTTACGGCGTCAACCTCTCCGACGATGGACTCACCGTCATCCTCTCCATCTCGTCCGGCTGCGACCCGGTGAACAAGGTGTACATCGCCCCGCTTGCGGACGTCCTCGCCGCCCCATCGGCCGCAGACATTGCGTGGAACAAGCTTGTTGACAACTTTGAGGCCGGCTACGACTTTGTCGCCAACGACGGGCCGGTCTTTTACTTTAAGACCAACCTCGACGCGCCACGCTACCGGGTCGTCTCGCTCGACACCTCGGTGGCCATTCCCGAGCCGGCCACCACGCCGCGGGACGCGTTCACCGAGCTCGTCCCGCAGTCGACTACTGGTGACGTGCTCCAGTTTGCTATGGCTGTCGGCGCTGACAAGCTCGTCGTCTCGTGGATGCGCGACGTCAAGGAGATCCTGGAGATTTTCGAGCTTGCGTCGGGCACCCGCATCGCCGACGTCCCACTGCCGGGCGTCGGGACCGTGGCGTCGGTCTCGGGCGCGCGCCAGTACGAGACCTTTACCTTTAAGTTTGTCTCGTTCCTCTACCCGGGCTCGTCGTTCGAGTACAGCCTTTCTTCCGGTGAGGCCCGCCTCATCGACTCGACCGAGGTGCCTGGCTTTGACCTCGACGCGTACACCGCCACCCAGGAGTTCTACTACTCCAAGGACGGGACTCGCATTCCCATGTTTGTCATTGCACCCAAGGACCTTGTCCGCGATGGCTCGGCGCCCGCCCTCCTCTACGGCTACGGCGGCTTCAACATCTCGCTCACGCCCTACTTTTCTGTCTTCCGCCTCATCTTTGTCTCTGAGTTCAAGGGCGTCCTCGCCATCGCCAACATCCGCGGCGGTGGCGAGTACGGCGAGGAGTGGCACAAGGCCGGCTCGCTTGGCAACAAGCGCAACTGTTTCGACGACTTTGCCGCCGCTGCCACCCACCTCTTTGACGCAGGCTACACCTCGGCCCCACGCCTCGCTATCAACGGTGGCTCCAACGGCGGCCTCCTCGTCGCCGCGTGCTTCAACCAGTTCCCGCACCTCTTTGGCGCCGCCGTCGCTGACGTCGGCGTCCTCGACATGCTCCGCTTCCACAAGTTCTCCGTCGGCTCGGCGTGGTGCTCCGACTACGGCAACGCCGAGGCCACCGAGCGCGAGTTCCGCGTCCTCCACGCGTACTCGCCACTCCACAACGTGCGTGCCCCGGCCTCTGGCTACGTCCCGGCCCTCCTTCTCACCACAGGCGATCACGACGACCGCGTCGTCCCGCTTCACTCGCTCAAGTTTATCGCACAGGTCCAGCACACCCTCGGCCACCTCGACGCCCCGCTCATGATCCGCGTCGAGGTGAAGGCTGGCCATGGTGCCGGCAAGCCGACCTCCAAGATCATCGAGGAGGCCGCCGACAAGTACGCCTTTATGGCGCTTGCTCTTGACGTCGAGCTCTGAACATGGTCCGGAGTTTGGGACGTGCAGCGTGTTGTTGTCCATAAAGTGAGTCGGCCTGGGATTGTGGGAGGGAGGGGGTGGGAGCTGCGGAGAGCGGGGGCGGGATCGGCACAGACGAACACCCGACTCGTACCCGTTGACCTCGACCCGGCTGTTCTGGGTGCAGTGAATGCTCTCGTCGTCTTCAAAGATGTCTTTGCGGTATGGGTATTGTATATGTGCAGAGGGGAGGAATGGAAAGGGGGAGGGGGGAGGTGGTGGTGGTGTCGAGGCACCGAGTCCGGCTTCCACCGCCGGCGTGGCGAATGGCCCGGGGAGGAGCGGCGGGTGGAGAGACCAGACTGCGACTCACAGCGGAATGGTGGTGGTTATGGGGTGTTGGTGAGAGGGTAGTGATGCCACTGGTGCGCGTGCGGCGCGGTCGGCGCTGTTTGGGGCACGGCGCGAGGGTGATGATGAGGCGCAGCGGGCGTTCGCCTCGCGCAACCTGGACATGCAGGTCCAGCAGAACGACGCAGAGATCCAGGCCATTGCGTCCAAGGTCTCCACGGTCAAGCACATCTCCATCGAGATGCGGTCGATTCTCGGCCAGCAGCTCGACGACATCGAGGATCTGGACGGCTCGATGACGTCGGCCAACTCGATGCTGGGGAGGACCATGAACCGCCTCTCGGACATGATCGCCACTGGCGGCTCACGCAACATCTGCTACCTCGCACTCTTTATGGTTGCCATCTTCTTTGTCCTCTACTCGCTCTTCCAGTACTTTCGCGCTTCCGAGGCCTAGCCGCCTTCTCCAGTCTGCTGCGCATTGCTCGCGCCGCGGTTGCCATGGAGGTTGGAGCTGTGAGGCAATGACCACAAGTCACCTATCATGGAGAAAAGGAAAGGGGGGATGAAGACCAAAGAGGCTGATCTCTCGAGTCTTCTTGTTGGCGGCCGTCGAGCTGCAGCCACGCACCCGGCGGTCTCGTAAACATGAGTGCCACCGCCACCACCACCACCACCACCACCACCACCACCACCACCACCACCATAATCACCACTATCACCACCGCCACTGCCATCATCCCCTTTACTTGCACTCGCGCTTGCATCGGGGCCCAGTATCTGACGTGGCCGGGAGAAGCGCGCGGGCGATGGCGGTAATCATGACATGTCGGCCTGGCGCACGTTGGCGCCCACGGCGGCAGACCCGCCGCGCGGCGACACCCCGCCGACGACCACGGGGCTGGGGCACTTGACTCCACCAAACCGTCTCTGTCTCTGTCTCTCTCTGCATGGCGCGGGTGGTGCCGTACCGTGTCCGGCCACCGGCCTCGTTTGCCCGCACCCTCGAGGCGGCGTGTGCGGCGCGGTTCTTCCTCGTCGACGCCCCCGGGCCGACCTCGTTTGTGCTGCAGCCGCGCGAGGCGGGCGAGGAGCCGCAGGGCGATCGGGCCAGTGATCGAGCTGGAGCGGGTGGTGGTGCGCGTAGGCAGGGAGCGGCAAGGGTCAAGGTCATGCTCGGCAACAGCCACATGTGCTCGTGTCCGGGAGCACGCCGGGCGCGGCGGAGGGCGGGGCCGGCGGCGGAGCCTTGTCTGCACATTGTCTACGTTCTCATCAAGCTCTGCGGGATTGATGCCGATGAGCCGCTGCTGTGGCAGCTGGCGCTAGTAGATGCCGAGCTCGACAAGGTCTCGGCGGGCAGGTTGCGGGTGGTGGCTGGTGCCGACGCAGATAGCGACAGTGGCCAGGCCGGCGCGCCGGCGAGTTCGAGTCGCCGCGTAGAGCCTGCTGTAGAGAGTGTGTCCCATCGCGCGATCGAAGCCGGCGCAGTGTGCCCGATCTGCCAGGACGAGTACGCTGAAGGCACGCATGTTGTGTTTTGCGCCTTTGGCTGCGGCAACTCGGTCCATGCACAGTGCATGAAGGTGTGGGCCGAGTACAAGCTCGCGTCAGAGAGCCAGGTCAACTGTCCGTTCTGCCGCGAAAGCTGGCCGCTGTACCAAACGCCGGGTGTACTCGGCGAAGGCGGCGTCGTAGTGGCGACCGCCGACGACGCACCGGCGGTCCATGCCGGGACCCGCTGCTCGGCCTGCCGGTCGACGCCGATCCGTGGCCTGCGATTCCGCTGCGCCATGTGCGCAACGCCAACAAACCTGTGCGCAGGCTGCTTTCACGCCGGCGCCCACCCACATCACTCGGTCTTTGACTGCAAGCACGAGCCGGGTGATGTGTTTGTCCGGGCACCGATGCGTCGCGGGCTCGGGGCGCCGCCGCCGCGCCGCGCAACGCCATCGCCAGCCCTCGATCCAGAGCTGGTCGCCGATCTCCAGAGCCGCGAGCTTTCATCTGAGGACTACAATCTCTTGCTTCAGCTCGATGAGCAGAGACCCGGGCATGCTGCAGCAGGCACGAGTTCAGGCAGCTCTGCCCGCGAGCTGGAACGTGTCATTGCAGCGCGACGGCGCAATGCACGAGCGAGCCGTGCGCGAGAGAGAGCGGCGGCGGCGCGGCGACGAGCGCCGCCCGTCCGGCCGCGGGTCGACCTTCCACCGCTTGCAGTCTCAGCAACCGCCATCGGCGCTGCGACAACAGGCGATGGCGCAGCGGCGGCGGCATCGGCTCGGCCCGGCGAGGCTGTTGGTCGGGCGCGGCGGGCGCGCGCACAAAATGCGTACCTGCGGCATCGAACGGGGTACTCTGCTCGAAGCGCGCGGAACATGCTCGCGCGGGCGCGGGCAGACCTGGACGCAGCGGTGGGTCGGAGAAGTGGCGGAGCCGAGGGAGGAGCCTATGGGACCAGCGGGGTTGGGCTCTCGATCCGCGGGCTGCAGCTCTGAGCTCTCGCTTCAGCCCATCCGGTGCGATGGCGTGGTTTCCACGAAACGCACGGCGCATCCACACACATGTTGTTCACTTTGAGGCGCGCCACACTTATGCGAGGACGGCCGTCGCGTTTGCAGTCGGTGGCGGCGGCGATGCTGGGGCGGGCACTGGCGCTGGGGCAGGGGTGGGCGCCGGGGTAGGCGCCGGGGCGGGGGTGGGCGGTGGGGATGGTGCGGGCGCGGGCGCGGGCGCGGGCACAACCTTTGACGAGTGGTGGACGCACTTGTTGAGCGCGGGACCGCCGCAAGCAAAGGCGAGGATGACGTAAACGATGACAAAGCAGAGGAGGATGAGGATGCAGCACCACTTCTTGTCCTGCCACCACATCTTGCGCTTGAGCTGAACCGCCGACTTTTTGTACTTGAACGAGGTGGTGTCGAGACGCTCGGTCTTGTCGACGAGCACCTCGATCTTCTGGCCACGATCAAGTACCTTGTCAATGTTCTGGACCATGATGCCGCGAACCTCGTCGACCTGCGACTTGACGCGCTTGATCGAGTCTGCGTTGGGGTCGTACGAAAAGTAGTCCATGCGCTGACGTAGGACGCCGCGGAAGCGGTCGTTCATGCCGTAAGGCGCCGCACGGTCGCCCTCGCGGCCAAATTCCTGGCCCCAGCGCTTGGCAATGTCGGAGAGAAAGCCGAAGGCCAGGCGGCGATCCATGTCCGCCGACGCTGCGCAGAGGAAGGTCAGCGCCTCGGTCCGCGAGTAGTGGTACATGAACTCACCCTTGGAGTACGACTGCAAGTTTCCACGGCTCACATCCACTCCGGCGAGGATGTCGCCAGCGGTACGTGCGACGTCAGCCGGCGCGCCCGACTCGGCCTGTTTCCGCAATCGAGCCATCGTCGCACCGTTGAGCAAGCAAGCCGTCGAGCAAGCAAGCCGTCGAGCAAGCAAGCCGTCGAGCAAGCAAGCCGTCGAGCAAGCAAGCCGTCGAGCAAGCAAGCCGTCGAGCAAGCAAGCCGTCGAGCAAGCAAGCCGTCGAGCAAGCAAGCCACCATCACCGTCGAAAATTACAGAGGTTAGCGGCAGCACAATCACGCCATGCGCAACCAGACCGTCCCCGTGTAGCAGCCGGACCGAGCCGATTGGTCAGCCCACATCGAAGCAGACACACACATACACACACACACACACACACATACACATACACACATACACATACGTGCAAACAAGCACACGCATGACCAAACATACATGCATTCCATGAGTCATGTCCGCCATACCCACCACCTCGTCTTCCCTCCACCCCCACTACCCCCACCCCTTCCCCTCACCCCCTCCCTCTCTTCCCATCCCCCCTGCACACGTACATGCTCAGCAAGCACAGTGGTGTCCCGTGCCACAAGCGAGTAGAAGATGGGCATGGTGGAG